TCTCTTATGTGTAATGGGTTAATGCTGAGCACACAGACCACACTACATAAACTATGACTACCACCAACTGAAGGACACCTGAGGACTTTAAAACCGCTAGACTTTGAACTGAAGTTGTCAAAGTCATGGAGCTTGGAAATCATAGCTTGCTGCTTCAGTGTCCAAACAGCGGCAAACTACTCCCAACTCCAACCCGCTCAAAAAGAGTGTTCTACTCTGTACAGGTTACTGAAAGATTTTTTGCTGACAGAATATTGTTTGATAATTATGACTATGAAGAGGATAACACTATTTTGGATTGTGTTTGGCTATTTTTTTTATACAGTGAATGAATGGCCAGCTCTACTCTCTCTGTATTGTCTTAATTCAAACCAATAGCAGGGTGGGTGAAGAGAGGAATGATGAGCCCTTCGACCACAGAACTGAGTTATGATCATTAATCTGATATTCACAGTGCCTCAAATTTATCCAATGGCGCAAGATCTCTCTGCTTTGTAGTTGTTTTTTTTATGATTTTCTTTATAATTGAGGGGTTAATGGATCTTGTAAATTCTTCAGGTCAGCATTCACATGTAGTCCTCGATGAAGTATAATGAAAATTGATTTTTAATTGACAAATTACAGTAAATTATCATTATGTGTCATTCTGAACATGTCTTCTTGCTAAAACTACAACAGTCTTACGCAACTAGCTAAATTTTACTAAATTTGCTATGTGAGAATACATATCCACAGGAACTAATAAGAAATGCAGACAAAATTCAATGGACTTCTCTATTTTCTCTTTAGTAAGAAGTCTTCTTCATGCCTCTTTTTTCATTCGTAAAGACTTATATGACAAGCTAGAATTGGTACTTGAATATCTGCTGGCCTGAAGAACAATAGAGAATCATAAGAGATGCCTTGGTTAAGGGAGACGGTGCTTGCCAATTGAGCCAACCACTGGTCTGTTTTGAAACAGTAACCGCTGTGAAGACTAGGGAATGGATCTTTTTGGGCTTAGTTAGCAAGGGATATTTATATACGGTTATTGTCTCTATGCCATAGACCCAATTTCATTTTGTCCAGTGACAAGTTTGGCACCAGCCCAAGCTCGGCTAAAACTGCTTTTAGCTAGGAGCATTGGTGCAGTCAGAGTTGGCTTCATGCTAAATAGACAACTGTATTTTTCCCATTGCAATGAACAAATATTCTCACATGTCAATTGTGTGTGTTACTTTTAAAAGGCGTAGGGAAGAAATAAGCATATTTTGGGGAGATGTGCTTTAAGAAGTCAGTATATTTGCTGAATACCACTTTGTATCTGATAATCACAGATTTAAACAGCCATTCATCTCTGAGTCATTCAAACTGGCAGTGTGCTTTCGTGCTTGGGCCACGTTCAAGAGTCCAAATGTAAAACCAGGATGTTCAAGTATGTTAATATAATTCATTATGTCTCAAACAACACCTTGATCAGTTTCTGTATGTTAGTCTTCTCCATCTGAGACACCTCATTTGCTGCAAATCTGTACATTGAAAGCCAAGTGTCGGTGTAAGATGAAATTGGGTTTTTGGGGATCAGTAGGCTAATAGACAAATTGAAATATTCATTTCTAAATGTTTGGTTCCATTAAAAGAATCGCTTCATTTTATTTCTGCCCTGATATGTCATATCAGGTTATCTGAAAATGTTAATGAATCTGGAATATGTACCTGTGTTTGTAAATAACTGCACCACATCATCAACTATCTGTCCATGGAGTATCCCTGTAAAGCCAGCCTTTCTATAGAAACCTAACCACACCTGCCCTGACAATGATAAATTATCATTTTGGTAAGCTTCACTGTTCTGTACCCTTCACCCCAATATGTGCCATTAGATCAAATATGGTTTTGTTTTTATATTTTTTCATCTGATATGAAGAATGCCATGCATTCCCGTGTTTATTTGGTTCATTAAACATATTTGCTGTCTGTATAAGAAAGTAAAGGAGGTAAAGAGTGTATGTATATGAGCAGAGATTCAATGCTGCATGGTATTTTTCACTTTTGAGAATGTGCTATCAGCTTGACAGCAAACAGTCCTAGTATCCTATTAAACACAGTGCTATCAAGACAACAAGTGAATATGGTCGTAAACAGAATCACATTTCAGAAATGAACTTGGTGCAATATTTAGGATGACATTTTCTCTGTTTTCGTCTCTTTTCTTCCTTCCTTATGTTTCAGAGGGCAGGGGGGTTATATTGATGTGCCTTCAGAAGAAATACACTTTTTCCCCATCTGCCTTGTGCAAGAGATGGATCCCTGTTTTGATTTCATAGGTAATTTTTGTTTTCTTTATCAATACCCAGTAACACATAATGGCTCCCTAAATTATTTTGTTTAACACTGGATGCTACTAAGACTTATCACCATACATCTGATACTGACATTCATGCCTTTTACTGTTTTTTATTTTTTCTTATACTGCCTTGTATTATTATACTTAAGATGGCCCAATAAAGAGCCACTCTTCCAGGTTATCACAAGTATAATAATACATGTAACACACACAATTCTCACATACGCAGTATTTATAAGACAGGATTTAGCCTCGACTGAATCTCTGCCTGCTTCCTTCACTCTCCTCCGTAACTGCAAACTTAATTTTATAGAGATTAAAATGGAAAGATAGAGGAAGAATCAAAATTTTGTAAAAGAATTTTATAAAAACAAAACAAAAAAATCAATAAATGAAATGTTTGATATAAATTGACTGTCTTTGTGTGTGTGTTTTTTGTCTGATCACTGAAATATCCTTTCAAAATGTCTTGGTATGTCATTACATATTTAAAATCTACATACATTAGTTCCTTTTTCCCCTTGTCACCTTGTCATCCCTCTTCCACTCTGACCTGCTGGCAACCCACTTTCTGGCTTCCCAAACATATTTAGCATGTCGGGTTTATGCGCTGCGCCCACTGAGGGAGAGCCAAACTAAATAATACCTTTAGCTTCCTCCTTGTGCGTGTGTGAACCTCATCCTATGCCAAGAAACTGCTGTGTTTACATAAATCTGTGTCAGGATGATTGGTTTAGACACGCTGCATAAATAACAGCATCTATCCAGGATGATCCCATGGTGCATGAGAGCTGCCAACTCAGCTGGAGCAACAGCTACAGGAAAGATTTCAACCCCCAAAACGCACACACAGGCACCGAACTGGGCAAAACTCTTAAAGCAAAAAGATGTGCAGTGTGTGTGTAAGAGCTGGACTGGAGCCTACACAGGATAAATTATCTTCTGACACGCCAAAAGGAAAACCATTTGGACAGTCACACTCAGACCACATCCACTCTGTAAGATGTGAGAGACCCAGATGTGTAGATGCTTTGTTTCATGGAGTGAGTGGGAATAAGGGATTTTCGATAAAGCAAGGAGTGAAACCTTGCTGCACTTCAATGCCTCATTTTAATGGTATGCGAATCAGTTCAGCATCTCTTAATCCCGCTGATGAGATGTGTATCTGCGGTGGAGATGGATCTCAGCATGCGTGTAGTCGGGGTTCTTCCCTACTGTTAGATAATGTTAAATACTGTGACTCAAGGCCAAGTTTGACAAATGGCCTTCGGTTGCTGTCAGCTTTCCACCAGATGTTACTGCAGCCTGTTTCAAATGAAAGAGATTCTCTTCTGTTGCGTTTGGTCTCACTGATTTCTATGGATTTGTAGTCTTGTTGCCTTGGTGTGTGAGTAGTGATGTCATCATGGTGGCGTCTCTGTTTGATTTCACTTTATTTTGAACATTGCAGCTAGAAACACGTCATTGTTTTTGTCACCAGATGTTCCCCTATGTCCCTGGAACTGTATTTAGGAGAATAAATGTCTTTCTTCTCTGTTACAACTCCTTACTGCTAGTGTTAATGTATCGTGAGGATTATCATGGGGATAAGATTGATTAATATCTGAGAATATATACCAATAAATACCAAAGAACTAAGGATAAAAGGTAAAAAAAAATATAACTTGAAGGCAGAATTTGAAGACTGCATTTGCAGTGACAGTACAACTGAATGTCATACAGCGCCTCAAAGAAAAGCAGTTTGGTTACAGAAGAGTAGAAGGGGCTCCCTGTGGCGACATAATTGAATACATTAAGATTAGGCACATTATAGCGCTATTAGGCGGAAAGAATTCATTTCACAGGATTAAAGAAATCTAGTTCTTCAATCAGCATTTGTCTAGATAAAAATCTGCCGCTACTTTTAGCCCCCCGTCACCTTTGTGTTTGTGCGTGCGTGTAAGAACGTTGCAGTAAATCCAAAGCATGATGTCTTATTTCCCACAGCTGTGCAGATAATAACATACTTCTCTTTTGGAAGGTAGAGATAAACAGATGTTCAGGATGTGCCTCACACCGTGTATACGTCAGCAAAGTAGCTCATCTAAGCAGGGAGGCATCAGCAAAGAAGCGGTTGGTTTCTCTAAGACTGTCTAAGATGTAAATGTCACATGATAACAGACAGTAATCAGCTTTCTGGATAAAATGATCTTGTTTAACAGATGGCAGTCCAAAATTGTGTCACCACCCAGATATCGCTGTGCAGCATTGTGTTAAAATTGTTATACAGCAATTGTTGGGTTTGTTGCAGAAGGCACTCGCTACACTGTAAACCCAAATAAGTTCAGAATACTCAAAATATTTGTGGAAACTGATTACCTCAAACTTTTATAGTAGTGGTAATGATATTTTTGAGTAAATCTTAACGTAAATATAATACATTTTTGAAAACCATTTCATTTCCGCATACTAAATTACACTGATTCACTGATGCTTATTAAAATTAAATTCCATTAATTCTATTTAATAATTGTGCACAACTTACACTCTGAGAGAAATTTACTCAAAAAATTTTTATTGTTCTAGACTCAAATACTAATGGAAACTCACTCAACAAAATAACTAGTCAATTTGAAATTTACAAAATGCCCATTTTCAGATAGTAGTCCTGAAAAATACGAATACAACTCCATTATTACAATTCAAGTTCTCTTTATTAGTATCAAAACCTTAAACATCATCTTCATTTCTACATTAGGCAAAAATTAGGCACATCTTGCATTAAGCTGAATCGACAAAGGAATTGACTGCTTGATCACATAATTAACCAGCAACAATTTTGATAATCAATTTGTTTTCATTCTTTTTTGCAATAATGTTGAACATTCTCTATTTCCAGATTCTTAATGAGATTTTTTGGTGTTAAGTGGTAATAACTTGAATCTTGAGCTGAATAAAATCTGATGTGTTCTCTCAGCGTGTTCTCGTGATTGGACGCCCAGTGTTTCAGGATGCTGGTGGTGAACTGGCCCTCAGGGTGACAGAGACGACTCAGGACCATCTTCGCCATCTCCTCACTGGGCCTGGAACACAGACAGAGATGTTAACAGGGACCCAGGAGACGAGTGTCCAGGTGTGTTCCTGTCGTACTTCTCTCTGGAGCAGCAGCAGCAGACAGGACAAGGCCACCGGGTGTTCTAGGAACACAAAGACAAAGGAGTCAGACAACTGATCCGACTGGAGGACAGGGACACCTGGACACCACTCACCTTTATATTTAATGTGCTGCAGGATGGGGGCAGGACTGCTCTCCCAGTCTAGAGACTAAACTGTGGACACATGAAGAAGATGCGAGGACAGGTGGACACATGAAGAAGAAGACGCCGCGAGGACAGGTGGACACATGAAGAAGAAGACGCCGTGAGGACAGGTGGACACAGGTGGAAGACGTGAGGACAGGTGTCATCTGAGAGTGTCTCACTGAGGATGTTGAGCACAGAGTCCTTCCTGAACATCATCACGTGACACATCAGCTCCTGCAGCTGCAACACAGAGACCTGCTTACAGAACACAACCTGGATCCGAAGCTTTCTATTTAGCTTGTTTTTAACATTTGGGTAACTGCCAAGTTAACATTAGCTGTGCTAGTAAATAACATACGGGATGACAGACTGAGGACAGAGATGATTTCCCTTACAGACAGGTGTGTTGATAAAGTATTGTCTTTTTACTCTGGAAGGTTTTGTTGCACATACTTACAGTAGGCTTAATGAGCTTAGGTGTGACAACTGGAGTAGTTTGGAGCGAACTTAACTTCCCAGAGAGCAGCAGAGGCTGCAGCCTGATGATGAACAGTCCTGGGCCCGTTTAATAAGGTGCCATCATTAGAAACATTAGCTTTCTTATCCATCGCCTCTCAAGATAAATCAGATTAGACAGGACCCACTAGTCTCGATAGCACCTTATTGATTTTCGGGTTTTGGAACCGTGTCCTTTAAAAACTGGGTCTCGATCCCCATCCTGTCTTAGCACTAACCAAACTGACAAGCATGATAGCCGTTAGTCAGCGCGCCAGTTAAATAAGTTCACCAACTAGCCCTGAGTCATCACCGAGATCCTGGTCGGGCCTATAAACTAATGCAGTTACTGTTTGTACCAAACTCCATTTAATTTAGAGAACACACTCACACTCTAGCATTGGACGATGTCAACAGTGAATCACTGGGATGGACGATGACGTTGATAGGCTACGTAATTAACAAGCTGGCATGCGGTGCACCTGCTGCCATGAAAAAGAAATTAAGAGTTCTGTTTCTTTTCTGTGACTTTGTAAAACATAACCTACTGCTTATGGAGAAACTCAGGGGAGCAGACAGGGAGCAAGAGAGGCGGGGAAAGCCGGTGTTTGCAGTGAGAGACCAGAGGTAAAGTTGTGTGAGTGAGTGCAGGGAGAAGTCAAGGCAGGTGCAAAGTAGGTACATTTAGAAACAATAATAAAAATAATGTCCATGGGGATAAAACATGCTTTCACAGGGTGTAAAATGTAAAAAATTTCCAATAAAGAAATATGCAATTCCACATAATCTTGGAAGATTTCTGTTACCGCATCTGTGATCAACAAGGACATTAATATTTTGAATAAACTATAACCTAAACTTGCTAAATGAGTCTATATAAAGTAATGACCATACTTATTGGTTGTGGGGCAGTGGATAAGACACATGCCTTTGGTGTGAGAGACCTGCGTTCGACTTCAACTGTGACACATGCATCAATGTGTTCCTGAGGAAGACACTTAACTCCTAGTTGTTCCAGAGGCGTGACACCTTTAACATATATAACGTTAGCAATTGTAAGTTGCTTTATTGTTAGTCGCTAAACTAGCCAACATGACACACTTTTGAAAGGGCTGTGAAGGTAAATCAGTAAGGTAATACAAATAGGCAGTTACTTATTCATGCACACTAATTTGCTACGTCATTGTAGGAATGCCCGCGAATTGTTCGGCAGGGATATCTACAGTACATCAAGCTAAAGTTAACTTGTTTAATGTTAGCAAACCCCTCACAGTGGACTCTGACATTTTAACTGATAGATGGAAAATTCCAAATATTACAACAAAATTACTCTTCCACGATGACAATGTTAACGTTACCTCTTGCCAACACGGTCTAGTTTGACATTTACTAGTAAGTTAGATAACTTTAGCTTCTCAATTTAATGGCACATTTAAGCTAGCCATCAACTCAGACACATTAGACCTTTGGAAATTTTGTTTAAATATGATATGAAAACCCCTCCAGTTGGGAGATTTTCAAGTCAGATCAGTTTGGACTGTGTAATTATTATGTTTGTATGATAAGCATTTAATATGTTGTATGTATGTAATCTGTTTTAATAGATCTGTCCTCTCAAGTGAACCTGAGCGCTGAGTTTCCATCCACATTTCGGTAAGATATATCCTGAAATAGTGTTGATGCATGGATGAATGTTTCATTTTATCAGCGGTGAACCTAATAAACCCCTCAGCCCAGACACAATTTGCCTCATCTGAAGTGGCTGTAATATGTATTTGTAAAGGAATATTTTTCCACTGTGGTAATGAAAGTTGGTGAGGAATGTTCAGTTTTTATTTAAATTTAATATTATTTGTTTATTTTATAAACTCTGCCTATATCACATGTTTGTGAGAAGTGTTTACATGGCCTTTATTTTGTAAACCATTCAAAAGTTGGTGTTCATATATTGTGTGCCCATGAAGGACTAGAGAGTGTTGCTGAAGGAATTTCATTATGCCCATAATCACCTGACTTGCGAAAGCAGCTCTGATATTGGTAAGTCAGATAAATTGTAAAAATCAGCATTCGCAGTATTTGATGATGTTCTTGTTGACTGGGCAAATGGAAAATCTTTATATTGTTTGTTATATTTGCTCTGGTAGGATCAAACAGAGTATTGAGTGGCACTACAGCTATCCAAGGTATGTTATCAATTTGCACATTTCTGCATCAATTGCTGGCTTGCTAATCAGCCATACTGAGGATATAAAAAATACTACATTGCTAGAGCTGGATCCAGCAACATTTCACAGTGGATGACATTTTAACATGAAAGAAGATATTTTAGCCCTGATTTTAAACATAGGGGGAATATTGTACTGTTTTAGAAAAGTGCATTAGTCCAGCTGTGACTGTGAGATTTTTATAATGAAAATGTATATTTAGCAATTTAAAATTCTCATAGATTTCTTTCAGAAATGATTGGCAGTGATCAAAAGCTGAGAAAACTGTAGATCTATTATAGCATTAAGTGTAAACATTTTTCACTGTAGGCTCTGTTAAAGACTGTTATAAACTTATGATGAGATGGTTGAATGACTGAAGTATCTGACTGAAATTCTGTCTTAATCCTGTTCAGAACAAGAATGGCACTGAAAAAACACAAGTATCTGTGTTGGTGTGGGAATGTTGCTTCAGATAGAAGCTAAATGATGAAATTTTATAAAATTAGTATAGTGTAAAATATATATGATCGGCTAACTCAATTCTTCACCACATAATCTTTCAGTTTGATGCAGCAAAACTTAAGTTAGGTTAAAGAAATTTGCAGGATGACCCTGCATTTTCTTTTCTTGTCAGTGCAGTGGTCCATGTCCATTTCTCAGGTAAAAACAAGTTGGAAACCGTTAATCTGCATACATTTATGTGTTTGCAGGTGTTTACTGAGTTCATTGCTTTACAAATGTTGAACCTATGCAACCAATTCTACTGCGAGCTTGAGAGATACACACCACAATCAATTGCCCTGTACAGGCAGAAGGCCAAGAGAGCAGAGGCCCGGCAGAGATGCTCAGGATTTATGACCTTCAGGTGATTTTAAGATTACCTTTGCTGTAGCAACAATGTTGATCACATAATGGTCAGTCAATACAGATTGGGACCTCTGTACTATAATAGTGAAATCTGATTATGATATTGTCTTGTGATGACTAGGAGGATAGAGCCATCTACTTTCAATTGTCATTTCTCATTTGCATTTATTTTTGTAAGTTTTCCGGTACATGATCACTTTAAAAGTCATTTACAAGCTTATTTTGAAATCATTGGGCTGCCCTGAACACTTAACCCAAGACAGAAAATCTTCAATTTCGCTCAGATTTTATATGCTGAGCATGACTTTTTATTTTTCTATCCGTCCAAGAGACCAACTCCATCCATGATTGATCACCATACAGACAGTTGCAGAGACACAAACAGAGAGAGATGTACTATAAGCCTTCTCCACAAGCAGCTCACCTGTGGTTGTTACCACAGAATCGTGGGTGAAAAAGTTCAAATTGCAGACTGTATGTGTCTGTCGCTGTAAGATACAGCAAGAAAGAAACTGAAAAGGGTGGTGCAAGCTGGTGTGTGTGCAGCGTTGTGCGGAACAGAACTGTGGGTGCTTGTGCGAATCTCCACATCCCACAATTTAAAACTGAATACCAACCCAATGACTAAATAGTTGAATATTTGGCTCCAGCCCTATTGCACTGGCTTCCAAATCTCTTCTATTGTCATATTTAAGGTTATAGTTAGCTTCTATTTCTCACTCATTGTTTGAGTCAATGTGTGTAAATTTGACTCGTCTTTCAGTAGTTGCAATTGGATGGATTTGTTGTTATTGCTATCAATATTATTATTATTTTAGAATTACATTGGTAGAACTGTTACACTTTATGGCTTGATGTGCTGTAAAAATATTTGTATGATCATAATTATTTTGATTGTCAATCTGGGAACATCACGAGGTACACATGAGATGCCATTCGACCCTCCGTGGCCTCCCATTGAACCTGCTAGCGGATGACTGAGGTCTTCAAAACATGCAATGTAAGTACTCAGTGTACTGTAGAGAAATGTCAATATCAACGACAAGTAATATGAAATGTAATGTAATGAAATCTACTACGGGAAACCAACTCAAATACCTCTTCCAGCAACTGACAGGTTTAAAGAGATGAAAGGATAGGTTTGTGTTTTTTTGTAGTCTATCTCAAAACAATGCTAATATATGATGTGTACAGTGAAAAGGTTAATGTTGGCTATTAGCATCCCCTTCATGGGCATTGCCAAATTGTTAGAAATTAGGGACAAATCCACTCTTCTCCTTTCATGAAAAAATGTTTCCCAAACCTCCCAAGACCTGGGCTTTGAGTCTGTGTGTATTTATATTAGTAGCATTGCCTTTGAACAGGGCGTACTTTTAGAAAAAAAATGAGTATGTGTACCCAATGTGTAACAAAGAAGAAACAGACATCAGAACATGGCTGGCAAGTGACCCTAGAGGGCACAGGCATGTGCCCACTAATGAGGACAATAGGTCTAAGTTGAGCAGAATGAAGTATATGGTGCATGGATCTCAAACCCTAATTACCAGACCAAGCCTACCAAGTCCTGCCATAAGGCTCCAGCCTCCTCTCCTTGCTCCCAGAAATGAGTGGCTCCACCCACCAACACCGAGGAGGAGAGCACCTCCAGCAGCGCCTCGGTACATAACCCAA